AGCGTGGGAACGCGCTGGGGATGGAGAGAGCGGTCCGATCCCCCTCTAGCGACTCTCCCGGGCAAGCACAGCCCGGCCCTGCACCCAGCAGCCGGATTTAAACCTGGTTTCATGGCAAAGTGTCCCCAGCCCAGCCCAGCTGAGCCCCCCGCACCCCCAGCGAGGCGCTGGGCAGGCTGAGCCACACCATGGGTACGCTGGTGACACCGTGCTGGTGGCTGGGAGCTGAGGAGGGACATCTGAGATTTAGGGAGGGACTGATGAGAATTAGGGATTGACACCTGAGAATTAGGGAGGGAGCCCCCACTGTCCCCTCCCTGTGACACGAGGCTGATGCCATTTACCCTTTGTCCCAGCAATGCTCTGAACCCAGCGGGTGAGAAGTTCCTCCAGGTGTTCCAAACACCTGGTTGGAGTTACTCCAGGTTTTTGAAAGCAGCTGACTGAAGTTTCTCCAGGTATTCCAAACACCTGGCTGAGCTTTCTCCAGGTGCTGAAGCTGCTCCAGGTGTTCCAAGCACCTGGCTGAGGTTGTTCCAGGTGTTCCAAGCACGTGGCTGAAGTTTCTCTAGGTTCTCCAAACACCTGGCTGAAGTTTCTCCTGGTGCTGAAGTTTCTCCAGGTGTTCCAAGGACCTGGCTGAAATTGCTTCAGGTGCTGAAGTTGCTCCAGGTGTTCCAAACATCTGACTGGAGCTGCTCCAGGTGTTCAAGCACTGGCTGAAGTGGCTGAAGATTCTGAGGTTGCTCCAGGTGTTCCAAGCACCTGTCTGGAGCTGCTCTAGGTGTTCCAAGCACCTGGCTGAAATTTCTCCAGGTATTTCAAAAGCCTGGCTGAAATTGCTTCAGGTGCTGAAGTTTCTCCAGGTGTTCCAAACACCTGGCTGAAATTAATTCAGGTGCTGAAGTTTCTCCAGGTGTCCCAGGCACCTGGTCGAAATTCTCCCTGTGCCAAGGTTGCTCCAGGTGTTCCAAGAACCTGGCTGAAGTTTCTCCAGGTATTTCAAAAACCTGTCTGAAATTCCTTCAGGTACTGAAGTTTTTCCACGTGTTCCAAGCACCTGGTTGAAATTTTCCAGGTGCTGAGGTCGCTCCAGGTGTTCCAAGCACCTGGCTGAAATTGCTTCAGATGCTGAAGTTTCTCTAGGTGTTCCAAACACCTGACTGGATCTGCTCCAGGTGTTCCAAGCACCTGGCTGAAGTTTCTCCAGGTATTTCAAAAGCCTGGCTGAAATTGCTTCAGGTGCTGAAGTTTCTCCAGGTGTCCCAAGCACCTGGTTGAAATTCTCCAGGTGCCGAGGTTGCTCCAGGTGTTCCAAGCACCTGGCTGAAGTTTTTCCAGATGTTCCAGCTGAAGCTGCTCCAGGTGCCCCCAGCCCCTGTGCTGACCTCCCTCCCCTGTCCCGGCAGCGCTGCGAGGCGAGAGTGGTGAATATTTCATCAACGGGAAGCTCTCCATCGATCCCCCCCGGCGCTTCGACATCGCCGGCACCACCTTCCACTACAGGAGATCCCCCGAGGAGCCCGAGTCGCTGGAGGCTTTGGGACCCACCAATGTCACCCTCTTTGTCATGGTTGGTAATTTGACACCCCTCCCGGTCTGGGTTTGATCCGGGGATTGGAGCTGATCAGCCCCTGGASTGAAGGGACACGGGGAGCACAGGAAATTGGGCTGAATTCCCACAATCACAGAATTAATAAGGTTGGAAAAGCCCTTTGAGAT